AAAAAATAAAAATTAATACAAAATTTTAATTTTATACCCCCCCAAGGGAATTATGTCTATTTGAAAATAATTAAGGCCCCCCCCCCCCCCCCTCCCCTCAAAAATCTATCTCAGCCTAGGAACATCCAAATTGTATGAAACTTTCAGGATATGTTGGGGCTGGAGAGGGAAGACTACCATAAAATTTTTCGGCCCGAAAATTTTCAGGTTTTAGGGAGATATGAACCAAACAAGGGTCAAAAATGATTCATTTGGCATCCCAAAATTTTCCGTCCTTGTTCGTTCAATATATTAATATTTTTTTTTTGCTGGAAAGAGTATCTCAAGATGCAGGGCATGATGGGGCCATTTTTTTGAAATAGTCCCTTTTTAAGCGCAAAAAAAGAGATCACAAGTTCAATTACTGAAAAAAAGTGTCAAAAAATATTTTAAACAAAAAATAAATATTAATGCATTGAACGAACCAGGAACGAGAAATTTGGGTTGCGCTTTTGAGAAAAAACGAAAAACATTTTTTGATTTTTCAAAAAAACAGCTGGTTTTTCGAATAGAGGTTGACGGAAATCTTGAAAATTTTTTGGGAAAAATGAAGTAACAAGAAAAACAAATTATCGTTTATGAAAGAGCAGATAACGGGCTATCTTCCCATGTATTTATCTCAGTTTTGACCATTCCAACGAAAACTGACATTTTATGAGGGGAGGGGAGGGGCCTTAATTATTATCAAATAGACATAATTACCATGTGCGGATATGAAATTAAAATTATTCATATAATTTAAATCTTATAGAATGAAACTCGTCCACAGATTATAGCTATCTATTAAAACTATGAACACTCCATGATTATTCTTTAAGTCATACGAATAAAGTTCAAAATAATTATGAAATATCTATACAAATTATATTATTAATTTGTTTTTCTTAATAACTATATTTCAAATTTTTTGATTTATATTAAAAAATTTTTCTGTACTTACCACCATCGACAATAATAGCTCCTTGTGAACCAAGTAATTGTTGTGCTTCTTCTGTTGATAATAGAACAGTATGTTCAACACCATTTTCATCAATAATATTAGCTGTTATTGTACCAATTTGTTGTATTTGATTTTTTTGTCCATCATCTTCACATTGAACAGTTTCTTCATTAGCTATATTTGATGGTGTTTCATCTGTCATCATAGACATATCATCATCATGTTGTTGAGCTTTACGACGTGCATCAGCAGCCATTGTAACATCAGCTGCTGTTGCTAAAACATGTGCGGCTTCCATTGTATCTAAATCTGTATTAATTGGTGTTATTGTTAAACCTTTACCCGTATTTTGTTCATCATTATTTAATTGTATACGACCTGGTGGACGTGACCATGCAAATGGTTTATTTATATTTGCTGCTGATGTTGATGAATTTGTTTGTGAATTTGTTGTTGATGGTTTAGGTAAAATTTTTTTCTGTTTAGGTGCATCAACAGGAAGTTTAACTGTAAATGCTAATGTTTGATTTTGTGATGTTGTGGAATTATTTGATGATGATGGTGCTTCAACTTTCGCTTGTTGTACAAGAGCTACAGGTAAAACTTGTTGTTGTTCAGATGCAAGTACAGATAGAACTTGTTGATTTTTTTGATCTTGTTGTGGCATATTAACAAAAAATATTTGTGATTGATTAGCAACTTCACTTAATTGTGCATCATTGATTTTTGCAACAAATGTATTACCCGTATTCATTGATGTTGTATGTGTTGTTGGAAGACGATTCATTGTTGTTGAACGTGATTGTTGTTGTTGTTGTTGATAATAATCATCCTCCTAGAAAAATAATAAATAAAATATAACGTCAAAGTAAAAGGTGTCTGGAAAATGAGTAATAACATAAATTAAAAATACTTTGTATCTAAAATACATTTTTCTACTCTAATAACTTTCTTTTCTCATAATTATTCTAATTTTTTTTTCAAGCGATATTGCTAAGAATAACGTCAAGCTCTTTGGCAGAATTATTTTGGTAAATTTTTAAATCACCTACTGGCTTATTGCAACATCATAAGGAAAAATGTACTTTGAAAAAAAAAGATTATCAATCACAACAACATGATATACTTTATGAAGTGATGAATAAAGGAAAAATTATCTGAAATCTTATGTGGGCGAATTCCTCTAGGCATGTCTCAGTTCAAATAGAAAAAAGCGCATAACAAGATTCATCCGTCTTGGCCTTCGTCGATGAGTATCAATGACTCCGAAAATATCCTGAAAGTTTCAGTCGAGAAAAGAATGTTCCTTCTTTGAATTATTGTATTTTTCCAGCACTCTATTTGTTCTCATCATCAAAATAAATGCGAAAACCTCGGATTTAAATCCGAGTGTTATGTGTACTTCAAAAAGTGAAAAGGTATATTCACTGTGTTTTTTATCACTAAATTGCAAGAAGAAAATACAGACGTGCTAAGTT